GAAGAGAGGGCAGAACCCCATAAATAAATGGGAGAAAATTCGGGACTATTCAAACATCTGTTCTGACCGAAGTGAAATAAAAACTGGGGAAACCCGGATGAGGACATGGAAGAAAAGACCGAAACGGCGATTACGAGAGAGAAAAATCAAACAACTTAGAACCCAGCAAGATAGCACGGACTTTACCCTCGAATCGCCTATCGAAACTTCGGAAGAAGAATCACAATTGATTACCGATCCTTGGAGTGAGTCAATTTTGTCTTCTCCTTCCTCCATTACCGGAAGAACATATGGAAAGTAAAATGGAGAGTGATAAACTTAATCTAGAAAGCGAAGAATCGGAACCGGTAGGAGAACTAGAAATAACTCCTCCATATATATTCCGACGCCAAGGAACAAGTCCAACTCCATCGATGTCTCGACCTACTCGTAATCACTTTTCACGATTTACTTCACCTACTTCTAGTCGATCATTCTCACCGTAGGTCTAGAAATTGAGTTGTAGCATATTAATAGGGCATTAATTGTATGAAAAAATAGAGGTCATATAAAATATAGGAGAGGTGTTTCAATTAAATCCATTCCCTTAATTTTTGGCATTAATAATGATATTACCCTGTTTCATTACCCTGCACCCTGATATTACCCTGGGAAAGAACCTTAAATAGCATAATGAAGGAATTCTTCATTTACTGCGCTTTCAAACGACTCTATTGAATGATACCCTAGACATAAGCAAACATAATAGACATCAGATCTATATATTATTTAAACGACAAGAATATTTTGGAGAGATCATGAATTTATACCAATATAATCTAGCCTTTGAGATAATTCTACGAACGATCGAATTCGCCGTTCAAGAATTACATTTCCAATTAGTAGAACTACGAGAAGCGATTAATATTTTAGAACAAGGTCGATTAAGCACCTACTTTATCTCACGAGAAATCATGTTACGAACTCTACGAGACATTCAACTCCAACTTCCGGAAGGCTACGCAATGATCAAACCCAGCAAGCCAGACACACTGTTTAAATATTACCAAGGGATAACCACCATTGCTGTAGCTTTACCTGGGAAACTACGAATTTTCGCCAAAATTCCCTTAATCACCCCTAGTGGATATTTTGATATGTATGAAATTGTCAAATTTCCAACATACATCCCTACATTAAAAACCTTTTTCCAATTTAAGCCAGAATATCCTATTATTGCTCTGTCTATGGATAGACAATCGTATATGTTGCTCCAACGATTCGAACTCACTATGTGCAAGATAGACCATTTTCCTATTTGTTCATTAAACGATCCCATACAACGATTTCCTCAACGAAGTTGTGAGTATGCTCTATTTAATGGAATCGAAACCCAAGTCAAAGACCTCTGTACTCGACAAATCGTCGCAAGATATGCTCCTATCTTTAAGAGAATAGATGAACAAGGAACCTGGATTTATTCCACACCTGAATCTCTCACCTTAACTATCCGATGTCCTACTAGACCTCAGAAATCACCTTATATATCTACAACTCACAAATTGAATTATACTGGAATGATTAATCTACCAAATGCATGTACAGGTTACCTACCCGGAATTGTTCTCACCTCACACTTTCAAAGACAATCAACCTTACAACTTGAGATAGCAAACACCTAGTAGTTCCCCAAATTGAACAACTTTTAAATCAAACTGAACTTCAAATGCTTCAAAAACGTCTCCTAGAATCACAAACCCAAGAAAAGAGAAATTTAAACTCTGACTACGATATCAAGTTAGCAGACCGATCCTTATCAGACGTCACCTATGACCTCAATCACCTGTTACAAATGACAACTAAATCAACACCTCCATCCTACCTCTCAACGGTAATGACGGTAATTACAAGNATATCATTATAAGAATGATTTTTATAATAAATTAATCTAAGCATTTTATCCTTAACTGAATATACCACTTTTACCATAAAATATAACAAACAGATATACATTTGCAAATTTGTAGTAGTATTATATCATGCTTAACTCATATCTCCCTTTTTATACTCAGGACTTCAATTGAAAAATGTTACAATAACAAAAAATGTGACTTGAATATATTAGAATAAAATTTAACATTGATAAAAAACTGTATTTTATTAAATTTAGTAAATAAATACATATATTTCCTTGCATATTACTGACATGTTTATTATTCTTTTATTTTTAAATTAATACTTTTTGTATTTTTAATAAAGAAAATTTTTTTTGTCACTTACATCTCTTTTATACTCACCCCTTCAATTAATGTTAAATTATTTTATTTATATGTAGGCTATATACATATAATTTGGCATACTTATATATCATTACAACAGTTGTTTGCTAATTGCAATGGTAATTAAATAGCAAAAACCCATTTTCATATGAAAACACTAAAGTTTAACAAGTTTCAGAAATAAAATTCAAATATAATTGCATATGAATAAGTTTCGTTATTCATATGCAATTAAGTTAAGTTTATGTATTAGTTTAGTTACTAAACTAATAAATTAATCTTCAGAAAAATATACAATCATTACATTTTAGTTTTACATAAATTGATTTCTTGAATTATAATTATAAAACTATATTTAGTCTATGCTCCTGTATTTCCACTAATTGCAGTATGAAATCTGAAAATATATTTTTCCTCTCTATACAAAATGCTACTTCTTCAATTGTTTGTAAATTTACAAAATTATTATTATTATTATTAAGCTTTAAAGTTTTTTAAAAACAAGTGATTATGAGCATAACTTCTTGTTTATAAAATTTTTCATAATAATAAAACATAGGTATTTTGAAATGCTTAGTGTTTCAGAAAAATTAAAAATAAAATTGGGATATTCAATACATCAGAGGCTAAATAAATATTTCAAAAATAATCACATTTTAATTTTGATATAATTTAGAGAGAAAACATATTGTTCTTCTAAATGTAAGATATTATTTGAAAATTCTTTCAATAATAATCTATACATCATTAATATATTTTGCTTTTAATGTTTAAAGCTTTTTGATATTTTATTTTCAATAGTATAGCATAATGAATAAAAATTATTGTGTTATAACTTTGCTTAAATTTATAACAAGAAATTTTTTTGGTATTACCATGTAATGTTGAATATAAAGATTCTGAAAATATTTAATAGAATTAGACTCCAACTGAAGATGTTGTCTTCTCTCTAAGAAAATTGCAGTTTTTCATTATATTATATAAAAAATATTCCCCATAAACTTGTATTTTGTTTATAAATTATTTAAAAATTTCTTTAATTAGTATTATTTCTTCTTTCCAAACAGTTTCAATATTCAATTAAATTTACTATCCATTAAGATAAATACACAAACACACATTTAATTATAAATGAAAAACTTTTTTAATTTTTAATTTAATTTTTTTAAAATTTAATTTAATTTTTAAAAACAAATTTTTAATTTAATAAAATACATTTAAGAAAAAATGTATTTTATTAAATTTAAAATTTGTGGTTTTTCCTAGTTATTTAAAAAATTAATCTTTTGTTTTAAGAATAACCTATAAACATTTAAATTTAAAATAATGTTGACAATATTATAAAGCAAGTTAACAAAAAAAGGAAAAAATAAAAAATAAACTTACATAGCCTTCTGGAAGTAATTTAATTAGAAATCGTTTCCTTTTAAAACTTAATTTTCTTATTTTAGCCCATGAAAATGTATTAATTTTTGTAAAATTCTGAAATACTAAAATTCCCATATGAGCAACAGCCAAATTAAGCACCACTCCTTCATGATCCTGTTCAAAATAATATTTTTAAAAGTCATGTAATGTAAAAACTAAATCAAAACTATTTTTATTTACTCTAGCTGGTGTCATCTGAATTCCATAAAGTTCACAACGTCTAGCTGTTTCCAAAAGATTGAGATCTGCTTCAGCTGGTGACTGACCACTGTAATACAAATAATAAATTTTATTTTAACTTGAACATAAACCCGGTGCAAAATAACCTTCAAAAATACTCATTTTAATATTAATAATGTAAGAAATTCATAAAAAAATCAACTTTCTTTAAAGTACAACATGATTAAGCAAAGTGATTGCTGTAATGAATTGGGTTATTTTTGTCTACTATTAATAATTAAATTATAATTAATTCGGTACTACAGGTAGGCATTAGGCACCATCTCTTATCATACTCCAGGCAAATTCTTTTACTCCAGAATATTCAAAAATTTTTAATAAATATTAATTTAATTACAATTATAATTATTAAATTTAATAAGAGCTTTTAATACTTCTAGTAGCAAATTAATTAGAATTTAATTATTATTAAAGCGCACATGAAAACCAGTTGTATAAACCATAGAGACGCCGACTCATTGTCTACTGCGTGGAGGTCCTTTTACAATTATTAATTTTCACTATTTATTTGGTTTATTTGTTAATTTTTCATTAAAGCGTCCGCTAGGGCTCTTTCCGTTAATTTTTATTTTTTGTATTTATTTTGAACGCATTTTATGTTCTATATTTAATATTCTATTTTTGGTAACTGAAGATGATCGTTGAAAAACGATTGAAAACGTTTTTATTTTATTAAATTTTGCTGGATTTATATATATTCACAAAAAGTCATGAATGATGATCTTGAATTGTAGACTGTATAATTCTCAATACTATTGTTTATTCTTTTTCTCTTATCTATGGAATAAGACATGACACTAGGAAGCAATTCTTTAAGAGCTGTCTCCTTGTGTCATATATTTTCCATAGAAATGGGAAATGGCTAAACAGTATTGTCAAGAATTGCACTGTTTACAATACATTGATAACAATATCAGTAATTATAAGCATGTGTGTGCGTGTATATATGCTAAAAATAATTAAATTTTAATTTTTAAAAGTTTTTTTATAATGTTACTTTTTTAAAGTATTGAATTACATTACTAATATATTAAAGAACAAAAGAAATATTTAATTTTTATTTTAATAATTTAGGTGTGTTTCAAAGATGTTGTATTCCCATTATTACCTCGAATGATCTTTGGAATGTATTATAACATGTCTTTGGTATGAATATATTTTTGATATAATCAATTTTTTATATTCTAAAAATTTATGTATAAAAGTAAAATAGATGATATATGTAACTTCAGTATACTAAACTCATTACATATAAATTAAAATAAAATATTTATTATTAATAACTTTTACTTTCTACATATTCTTTGAGTTAATTAGAAAATATAATGAATTTTATAGATACCAGGCTGTTACAAAAGTGGTTTATTCCATGCTTTTTCTAAACATGTTTTACATAAATTAAATATTAAGCAAGATGAATATTCTGTGAGTATATTAACACTTTCATTTAAAAAATTATAAATAAATAAAATAACTTAAAGAAATATATTTTAAATTAGGGAAAGAAAATTATAATTACGTTATTGTCAAGAGCAACGACTTTCAGACAGATATTGAATGAAAATGAAGTAAGTTTATTTAATTTTTAACAATAATAACTGTTCTTATAAACTTGTTTTTTATTTAGCTCAATTGGGATTAACATGCATTCAAAGTCCTTTGA